AAAGAAACCATTCATGGCTTCTAGCTTATATTCTAGTGCTGGTCAACAACTGTCTGATGTGGCACTTCAATTCCGCTTGCTGAGCAACAAGGACACAATGTTCACGCAGGTGAGTGTTCTTGTCGATATCATATACACTATCTTCTGAGTTTTTCTGAACAGATTTTGCCAACTGATAATGTTGTAGTACATGTTACAGATTTATTCAATTCCTTCAAGGACAAGGAAGGGAATCTGAGAGAAACCGTTAGAGAAGATATATTGGGGCTTCTTGAATTGCATGAAGCTTCTCAGCTTAGTGTAGAAGGTGAGAACAATCTTGATGAAGCAGGGGAAATAAGCCGGAGTCATCTTGCTGCATGGTTGTCTGCAAATAATGAAACTCATCTGGCCAAACATATCTCAAGTGCATTGCAGCTTCCTTTTCACAAAAGCTTGCCCAGGTTTTCACACAGAAGATCTTGTTTGAATGATTTCAAGTTCCAAGTGAACACTCCATGGATTCTCACTTTACAAGAGTTGGCCAATTGTGATTCCTGCATAATTAAGTCCATACACAAGGAGGAATTCCTTCAGGTTTCCAAGTGAGCTCATGTTGAATATATATGAAAGAATCGTAATTTCATAGACTTTGTTTGTGTGCAGATGTGTCTGCGTGTGTGTGTGTGTACTGACTCTGTATAATATAATTGATTAACAGATGGTGGAAGGACCTTGGACTGAGCAAGGAGTTGAAGCTTGTGAGGGATGACCCACTCAAATGGTACATGTGGCCAATGGCATGCCTGACAGATCCCAAGTTCTCAGAGCAGAGGATTGAGCTCACAAAACCTCTGTCCCTTGTCTATATAATTGATGACATGTTCGATGTTTATGGATCTCCAGATGAACTAAGTCTATTTACAGATGCTGTTAATAGGTATTGAAAAACATGTCTACACAGGGAGGAAAAGAGAAGAGAAGGGAAAGATACATAATAAATATAACTATTTCTACTGCTAAATCACATCCTGTGATTGCAGGTGGGAATTGAAAGCTGCAGAGAAACTACCACAACACATGAGAACATGTTTCCATGCTCTTCATGACATTACAAATGAATTTTCCTACAAGGTCTATCTAAAGCAAGGATGGGACCCTTTGAACTCTCTACACAAACTGGTAAGATTAAGAGCATATTTTAACTCAAAACTGTAAGGCTCAAATTTAAGGTCTTTCTTCTTTATATATATTAGTTATTAAGATCAATTTTATTCGATGTGAGACTTCCACACCATCTTAATTTCACTCACACTTAGACATCTTAACAACCTCTCCCTCAAGTGCACTAGCCTAGTTTTTGGCACAATAATAGGCTTTCAAGTCCCAAGCAAAACTTGGATAAGATAATACTTGTTAAGAATGGGGAGTAATCACTCGAAAATAGGAGGGAGAGGAGAATAGACAAGAACAATGGAAAAAAAAATCACATCTTAACTCAAAATGTCAAAACTTACATTTATAAGTCTTTCTTCTTTATTGTATACTCCCTCTAGTCCTTATTGCTGGATACTTTTAATTGTTTCACGCATTTTAAAAAAAAATTAGTTTTGTCTTCATATCATAAAAAATTATCTGTACTTTCATTTTTACCCTTAACTTTAAATAATGATACAACTACATTAAATACCTTTACGCTAATCAAGAAAGTGTAAATTTTAAAAAAATAATTTAATTATTACAAAGTGTTATATATTATGAATTAAAAATTATTTCTAGAAAGTGCATACAAATAGGATCAGAGGGGGTATTAGTTATTGAGTCCCTTTATCCAATTTGTTACTTCCCACATCATTTTAAGTCCACTCACAGTTGAACATCTTAACATATAAACAGCTGAAGCAATAAAGTGAAGGTCATTTAATAGTTTTATCATATAGAGTTGCTTAATTCTTCTGACTGAACAAGTCTTGCATGTACCAGTGGGTTCAATTGTGCAATGCCTTCCTTGCTGAAGCAAAGTGGTTTGCTTCAGCTCACACGCCCAGCACTGAGGAATACTTGAAGAATGGGATTATAAGTTCAGGAGTACAAGTAGTGCTAGGACACACCTTATTTCTCCTAAGCCATGGTATAACCAAGGAAATTGTGTCAACTATGGATGACAATCCAGGCATTGTTTCTTCAGTAGCCTCAATTCTTCGCCTGTCAGATGATCTAGAAGGATACATGGTACGTACCAAGTTGATCTGATAAGTTTATTTAAGAATTGGAAATGGTGTTTTATGAAATGAGGTTTTGATTATGCAGGAACATGATGAGAATGGTCATGATGGATCTTATCTTGAGTGTTACATGAGACAGAACAGAGGCATTTCTGCTGAAGAAACACGAGAACATGTCACTCACATGATCTCAGACTCATGGAAACGTCTCAATCAAGAATGTCTTGCACAAGTTCCATTCTCATCAACCTTTAAGAAGGTTTGTCTCAACACTGCGAGGATGGTGCGTCTGATGTACGGTTCTGATGCCAATCACTGCTTGTTCAATTAATGGAGAAAAATCATATGAGGTCTTTGCCGTAAGGTTTCAAATCTAGAATGATGTAACAATTGCAGCAGTAATACTACTACATTTTGTGTCTCTGATTTTGGACTACATCACCTAATTCAAAATGAGAATTACTATCATTAAACTCATAGTATCATATGTTAATAATCACTGATCCATCATCCATGCATGCAGATTATAGGTGGTTGGATTTTGTTCTCATTTTCAAATTTCGAACTTACAATGATGTGCAAAAATGACTCATTAATCTTGCAATATTGTAGAATTGAACAATCCAACGAGTCATGCGTCTAATTGAGAACACACATTTTTCGATAAGCTGATAAGGCTGAATTTGAAAATATTTATCGGATTGACGCACCAATTTGCGTGATTGTTTTTAGTCTTTCCTTCTTGTGCGAACGCTACAACAGTTATCATTGCCTGGATTAACATGTCATGCATCGTATTGACTGTAACAGTAAATGTTATTTGTTCACTCACCTGAAATTACCAAAAACTTAAATACTTAATCTTATATATTTAATATACTTTTATATAATTAAACCAAAAAAAAACCATATATATTTGATATATTTTTATCCAATCAAATCAAAATAAGTAAAACTTATAGTGTTAAATAATATTAATAACAAGAGTTTGTTCCAGAAAATATAACTTTAAATTTTTATATTTTACTTAAATTTTATTATAAGTCTCTATATTTTTTTTGATATTTTAGATCATTATATTTTTATTTCTTAGTGTCCTAAGTCCCTCCATGAACAGTGTTATAGAGACTTAGAACACTAAAAAATAAAAATATAAAAATATAAAATACTGAAAAAAAAATGTAAAGATCTATAATAAAACTCAAATAAAGTGCAAGTACTTAAAGTTATGTTTTTAAATAATTTTTTTAAAAATGTTTTAACAGCTCTAATGATTAAATCAAATTTTTACCCATTTTCTCAATGCGCACATGTGAAGTGATTGAAAGTGCATTCTCTAATATTCAGTCAATAGAGTTCTGCTCCTGGTTTGCAATTAATGTAATTAATAGTATGGTGTTGAAATTTAATGTTATCAATAAGGATATTGGTAGAAAGCATTAAATGTTTTACAAATTTACTCTTCTAATCTTATTTATAAATAACTTTTAACATGTTTTATCAATATAAAAAAAATCTTAAATTTTATTAACTTTATCTAAAAATTTAATAAGGTATCAAATTTACCCTTCTTGAAGATATATACTTTAACAACATATTTTTTCTCTCTAATATTTAATGAATTATAAAAGAAAAAATTTATGATAAAAATTTAATGAGATGACTTATAAATTACATCAAAAAAAAAAAAATTTCCTTCCACTACCCTATAAAAAAGATCAAGCAAATTATTTAATGACGTAACAAACTTTTGAATCATTTTCTCAATATGTGTGAGGTGATTGGAAGTGCATCTTCTCTATGAGATAGTTCATTGGACTGCTATTAATGTAATTAATACATTGTTGAAATTTAATGTTATCAGTCAAGGTATGGGTAGAAAGCATTGAAAGTTTTTAACAAATTTAATGATCCAACAAACTTTTAAGGTGAGAATCACCTTCTCTCTCCACAAATGCCTATACATATCTCAATGGCAATGCAATACCGGCAATTCTCAAATAAGAAGACGGTCACAGCCATACTTTTTAACTGCCTCAGAAAAATGTCAAACTTTCACCATCTTGCCCTCTTCCTTGCACTTGTATCAGCATGCTTCTGCAATAAAATAGTCGCAGCCATGGATGGCACCAATGGCGATGCTCAAGCTAGAATCCAGATCCAAATTTTTTTGCCAAAGCAAGCAAAGCCAGTGAGCATAACATGCACCTCAGAAAGCTTTGTGGTTCTAGCAGGACAAAGTCATGTATGGAATGTGCCCGTTAACCGGACTGAATCGTGCCACGCGCTATGGGGCCATTCCTCTGCTTCTTTTAATGCTTTTGATCTAAACGTTGACTCAGGCCATGATGTCATCTATTGGTCTACAAAGCTTGATGGTTTCTTTCATAGCTGGGACAATCTCAACTGGGATAAAAAGGCTGGTTGGATTGGATTTACTCAACACTAATGGATGCTGCTACCTCCTAATGATGAATAAATATCCATTGGCTCAAATGATAATCTTGATTTAAGCAAATATCATTCGGAACTAGATTAAACTATTGCCTGTTAATACCCCTTCTTGCCATCCATTTTACTTGGACTTAAACACAAGTTAACATACACAAATGATACACAAGTGAGATATAAATAATGACTACAGAGTTCTATAAGCTTGTGTTAGGAACATCCAAGAGAAGACAGTCAATACTCAATAGGCACTAGAATCTCGAAGTTAATTTCAACGAATTCAAAGATATGTCAATGACTAGTTGTTTATAGAGAGTGAGAGTCATAAACGCGGTAAAGATGAACTAAAACGTAATGAGAAAACAATATCATATAAGGAAGAAGCAGGTTATGCCGTTTTCAAGCCTTGAATTACACGCTTAGAATGCGCCAACATAATTAAGGATTAGAATAACAAGAATAATAGAACGAACATCAGAGATCATGCACTAGCCTACTTTTCTTGCGGCAAACTTAGCTTAAAACGACTCCCAAGTTTCACCATCTTCTTTACCTCTAAAATCCTTCTCTTTTCCGCCAGTTTATCCACCACAAGCTGCGGAATTGATGCTTCAACATAGTTCCGACACTCGAAAATATCCTTGCTTACCTTATATGCAGAATACAGATCACCATTCTCGCACAGAAATGGAATAAGCAGTTTAAATGTTGTGTTATTCGGGTTGTAATCGGAGTTTGCTATTTCACGGTACCACTTCTTAACTTCATCCAAATTTTTCTCGTTGACAAAACCCTTAATCAAAGCATTTATGCTATAAATATCAGGCTTCACACCGTCATCTCTCATCTTCTCAATCAATTCAACAGCTTCTTTCATGTTCTTCTGCCCAACCAATCCTTCTAACTTAGCATTGTAACTCCTAATATCAGGAATAACATCCTTCCTCCCCATTAGGCTCCAAATCTTGTCGCCATCTGAAAAACGACCATTCACATATAACCCATGCAGCAGCGTATTGAATGTTATCAAATCCGGGATAACACCCTTCTTCTCCATCTCATCAAGCATGGCAATGGCGGAATCAAAAGAATCCATTTCACAAAATGCCTTGATAACAGTATTATAAGACACCAAATTTGGTTCAACGGACAGCTTCGCGGGCAGCTCCTTGAAAAGGCGATCTACCATGTCAAATTTCTTAGAATGTAAATAAGCAGACAAGAGGGCGTTAAAAGATAGCACCGTCCGGGTGCAATTTCTCTCCGGCAATCCATCGAACAGCTTGTGCGCATTTTCAAACATGCCCGATAGGCCATAGAGCCTGATCAGCCGAGCCGAGAAGCCTTCTCTGGAAATGTCTTTGTACCTCTTTTGGTCTTCTAGGATCTCTTCGACCAAATTGAATTGCTTGGCGGAGGCAAGGCGACGAACCGTGAGTTCGTAAATGCCATCTTTGGTTCGGAAACGGTCGACTTCGGAGGCATCCTTGAACTTCTGGACGAGGAGGTTATAGTCCCTTTCCTTGTAGAGCTTCTTCACTAACGACCGGATGCTGGGGGCGGCGCCGGCGGAGGAAGAGAAGTTGCGCTGAAGAAGGCGACAAAGAGACGACATCGTATTTGTTGGAGTTCTCGGGTTGAGGCGGGAGAGCAAACTGCAAACAAGAGTTACAACTACAAGGAAGAGGGTTTAGTGGGGATTTTAGGGTTTGTTTGTTTTTAATTTTTAAAAATTATTTTTGTTTTTAAAAATAAAAAAATTTAAAACTTTGTTTGAATAAGCGTTTGAATAAGTGTTTTATATTTAGTTATTTTTAAAATTATTTTTATTTTTTATTTTAAAAACAAAAAAATAACTTTAAATTATTTTCATTTTATTTTTTTATATTTAAAATATTTTATTTTTTTATATTTAAAATATACTACAATTGATTATTAAAAATTATAATTATTTAATTAATTTTTATTATTAATCATTACCATTGGCTGTTTATAACTATTATTATCAATTTATTTTTTAATTTTAATACTTCTTTTTAATTCACATAACCAAATTGGTTTTCATTTTATTTTGTTTTAAAAATAATTTATAAAAATTATATTACAAAATAATTTTTAAAAATAAAAACCAAACAGGCCTTAGTTTGTGCATCTCACCTTTCTTTGTTTTTTTTTTTTTTAAACCCTGAAAATCGTAGGTTTTTAATTGAGATAATAAAATTCAATCGCTTAAAGTTTGTCACTTAATTGATCCTCAACTTTATTTTTAATTTAATTTTTATTATTTTAAAAGAGACTACACCATTAAGATCCGTTTATGTAAATAATGAAATATTAAGTTAGCAGTTATATAGTTTAATTAAAAAGTTTGATCAGAAAAAAAAATTAAAACACTCAATTTTTTTAAAAAAAAATGAGAGAACAAAATAACTTTTGTAATTTGAAGATCAATTTCTGTTTTAAAATTTAAAGAAGTAATATGATAACTTGAAAAAAATATAAGGGTAATCAATAATTGAGATAAAGTTGAAAAATTTAAAGTTGGGTTAAAGTGTATTAATTTTTTATATATTTCCACGAGGAGTAGGAAGCACCCCATTCTAATAAGTGGAGCATTTTCTCACCTAAATCATTTTTTTAAAAAACAAAAATTCCCTCCATTAGTGGAATAATTTGGAGAAAAAAATGCTCTATTTATTAGTATAGAATACCTAGCATTCTTTAAATGAAAGTACTGGAAAAATGTGCTTTAATCCTAATAATAATAATAATAAAATATTTTTAAATAAATTATAAAAAATGGCCTTATAAGAAAACTAATAATGATTAGATCCATTAAATCTTTTAGGTCATTCAATGTAATTTTTTTAGTCAAATCTTCCTCTAAATATTGTGCCACCTAAATTTAATATTTTAATATTTTGTAATTTTGTATTAACATAAGGGAATGAACCTTCAAATAAAATTATGAAATTAATATTATCTTGTTAAATTTGCAACTCATTTTTTAATTTTAAAATTAGAAACATATTACATTATATGAAAATACCAATTGAAAATAAGTGACACTTCAATTTTAAATATATGTTAATTTGATCATTAATTGATCAAAAAAATTATAAATAATGACTTAGAACATTTAAGAGACTTAATCAATATTAATTTTTTTAGAGAAAATTATTTTCTTAATAAATATTAAATATTTTAATAATCTTAATTAAAATTTATTTTAACAAAATTTCAAGACACTCAACTCTTTATGAAATCTACATGTCACATCAATAAAAAAACAACAAAGTTAATGAATTACTAATAAAGAGAAATTTTTATTTCCCTAAAAAATAATTTAGAGAGAAAAAGACCTCATTTATTAATATAAAATACCCATAACTCTTCCCGGGGAAAAATACAAGGGGAATAATGCACCTTAACCCTTAAAAGTTTAATTATTCCAAACGTTTTCCATTCCAATATTCCAACCATCAACCATGCTCGGATCAAGCCCAGCAGTATTATATTCTCTCACGAGTCCAAAATACAAATTTTTTCTGCAAATTAATTTTGATCCAAATTATGAACTTATGATTTGACCCAAAAATAGAATCCATTTTATGGTTTTACCCTTTATTTACATCTGATGATTCTTATGTCCATGAATATACAACCTCACATATCATAAATTGAAATTAAAAATAAAAAGGAAAAAGGATATAAATTTTTATCATTTTTATGAGAATAGAAATTTTATTGATATATAAATTATCATTAGAAGATGTTTTTATTTTGTACAGGAAAGAAAATAAAGCAACTAAGAGAAACCACTGTAAATGGGACTTCCCTATTTCACAGTAATCAGTGATAAAAATTGAAAAAGAGGTCATCAGGGATGAAAAAATCATGACTACTTCTCCCCTTCACCTTCCAATCTTCATTATAGTAAAAACAAAATAAAAAATGTGATTAGAAAAGTAGAGGAAAGGATGAGACTAGAAGAAGAGAGATCCTCTCCCGGGAATGAGGCATGAAAAATCAAGCATTCAACATATTAACAACTCTATAAAAGAAATTTTCATCAACAAAACACAATATTATTACATCCTCAGAGAGAAATCCTAGAAACAAGATGTCATTATCTACAGAGAAGGATCATTGCCTACCACAGCTTTCCAGTTTTCTTATCACTCCTTCACCTGAAAACACCTTTTCTACAAAAGATTTCTATTATACAGAGTCAACTGCCCCCTCAACCTGCTGCTTTGCAAGGTACCTTTCCCTCCTCTCTTTCTGGTAAACACGATCAGCAATTACACAGATTAAGCATTTGTCACATGTATAATTATAAGTTGCAGCATAACTTATACCTCACAAACCAACTATATGTACTCACCCATTCATCAATCACAAGTCCTTCCCCAATAATCTTAGCACCAGTATCCTCCGGAGGTTTCTTTCGTGCCTCAAGTGCGGCGTCAGCATCAGCCAACTGACGCTTCAGCTTTTCCAATGCCTTAATGAGACACATTTGGATAGCAAGCAATCAGAATGTTATAACGGGCAGGCATCTTATTAACATGGACATCAAGATAGAAGATACAGAATGTCTGGCAGACAGACAAAATGGAAGCAAGATACTTCATCACAAAGAACATATGAACACAAATCCAAGTACTTACTGGACTGGGATGCTCAGGATCTAGAAAAACAACACGTAGCACCTGCTCTACTGATACTTGGTCCTTTTGCTCATCAAACTGTTTCCAGAAATAACAAAAAGCTTACAAAAGAGTCAGAATCACACGAGGTTGAACCGAAAAAGTGAAAACCAAGTGCCTTGCAGAGTACAGTATAAACTTTTGATCTTGCAAGAAGGCAGAAAGATTAAAAAGGAAGAATGAATTTTACATATTTAAAATATATCAAAAAATACGTCCTTCCAATGAAACATAATAAAAAAAATCATGAAATCAAGTGATCTTATAAGTAGAAGTCAAGCAAATAGAGAATTTACGACAGGCTTGCTTAGGGTAAAAATAATAGTAAGATTGTTAGCTTCCATTCTGAGAGGTGGGAAGGTTGGTAAGATAAGCATAATATCAAATAACTCAAATCAAGAACTCTTTTAGAGGCAATTGCAATGACAGTGACTTTAACTAACCATCTCAGGAACGTAATCAATTGCTCCCTTGACCTTCAAGCTCATTATTTTAAATTTCAGTCTGCTCTTATCTGGCCTTTCATTATTTTCTGGAGGCTCAACAAACTTGAACACTATCAAATTGAATAAAAATTGGTGAGTTCATTTCAGCCAATTACATTACATATCCAAACAAAGCCCACAGTATCAAAAAAATGAAATATTCATTACCAGTTGCTATGATACTTTCACCAGGTGCAAGAATAGCTCCAGGAGGACGCATGAAACAGCTTTTGGGTGCAGTTGTCTGAAACTATATAATGCATATCAAAAGCACAACGAAATCATTTTAAGCAGTTGAATTTATGCACTAGAGAAAATCAAAAGCAAATAGCTCAGTTATTGAAAAGGCATACATTGAAGAGCTCCTAAGCAGAGCTATGTCAAAAGTAGCAGCTATAACATATAGTTGATAGCAAATAAATAATAGAAAAATTGAAAGGTGTATATGTTTAACTATACCTTGAAAGCGACATGAGATTTGGTAGTATTTTTAATCTTTATGGCACTCCTAACCTGCTTGCCTGGTTCATCTTCAGAAGAGTGATAGCAAATAATGAGTAGACAGAGTATAAGTCCGGCAATCTTGTGGGAGCACCAGAAGAAGAAATTCCACAAGATAAAAACCACATAGTCTATGTGGATACCAAAACCTTATATACATGCATAAAATGAATAGATATCCACGTGCGCTCATGTGTGTATCCATGACTGTGCACATTAAAGTGCAACGCTGAGAGTGCTAGTATTATTTGACATGCAGCTCAGTTGTTGGATATACAATAGCCATGAGAATATGACCTTTTCAAGAAGAACAAGTGTTTCATGATTTAATTCTCAATGAATTTAAAAAGCATCTGCTGCATAAAAGTTAAAATCATTGTTGCCACACAGAAATTTATCTTCTTTGACGTCTTGCTCGATCATTGGGAGCTTTATTTTCTTTCACTGAACATCAGAATTTGTCTATATAGATATATATATTTTCAAAAAAGAATTCAACCTCACCAGTCAGGATAATGGCCAACAAGCCTGTTATACCGACCACACAAGTCAATCATATTTGCTGTCTTGAATCTTATTTGTCGTCTTGCTTAACAATAATGGTTAGAATGTGAAGCTCAATTTTTTTTCTTTTTGCTACACATAAGAAAGCTGTTGATATATGCCTTTTCAGGAAGAATAAGTGTCTATTAATGCAATGCTCCTCCCTTCAAGCAAATTCAGCCGGTTGTCAGGTAGGTTAAGATTTATTCAGCTATTATACAAATCAAGTAACTAAGAAGGGAGGAAGGGAAAATTAGAAGAACATGTAAAGAGCTAATAAGTCAACAAGTAATAGAGATGGACATATCTCTTGCCAATTGTAAGGTAACCAAGCCCTCTGCATCTAGATGATATAGATGACATGAAGTTAAGGTGCAAAAGTTAATGACAATAAATGCCCAAACAAGAAACTTTTTAATTCAATTATCTATCTCCTACATGTAGATCAAAGAAAGAGAAGACTTGGGTATTTAATCTTATACACTTAATATACTCTTGTCCAATCAAATTACAACATATGAATTTTAAAATATTAATAATAAAAGTCCATTATAGAATAAATAATTTATAAAAGATCCACCTATTTTAATTTGATTGGAAACAAAGCATCCTAAATATACAAGTTTTCTCCTACCAAAAAAAAAGAAAAAAAGCACTTGAGTGACAACTTCCAACTACAGAAAACCATAAACAGCAGCAGCTACCTTTAATTTTGTTTAATGTGAGGATATATAAAGCCATTTGGTAAAATCCAAAAACTGCATTGTGAGACTTTCAGCTTTTGGTCCGTACAAATTTCCAATTTTAGAATAACTTTGATGATTGTGATAGATAGAGCCCCTTTAACCAATAGAAAGCTTATTCATCGCGAATGAGCATTTTCAACTCAGATTCAAAAGGGGAAAGGATTAACAATTAATTGTCGGATCGTAAGAGTTATCTCTAAGTAGAGAAAGCACCGCAATATGTTGCTGTATTGCTATTTAAACCCTAGCAAATGATGACAATCCAGACCCCCATTTGATCGTGATCAAAGCAATTAACTTGCACTCCAACAGGCACCAACATTTCCATAAGCTAAAAATAGAAAGACAAGGAGAATCCTTACAAGGCAAGTAGAGCTTATTGGAGGGATCAAGCTTGAGACGACGTCGAGTTGGCAGAAAGGACCTTGCAACCGAAGAAACCGAACTGGAGCCATGAGACGCTGAACCCTCAATCGGAGGAGGATTATGATGGTGGTGGACGGTAGTAGACGGCGTCGTGCTAGCCGAATTAGCTCCCGAGCTACGAAACGGAAGCCTGAAGAAATTCCAGACCTTCCCATCGGAGGGTGGCCTATGGTTACCTATCGCCATGTCCTCTCTGTGCTCTAGACGCAGTAGGCTTTTCACAGAACACCGAGGAGCAAACGGCACCGTTTACTTGCTCCGGGGTCAACTCATGAGAATCGGAGGCCCGTGCCTGGACTGGGCTTACTTGAGGAGAGAACTAAAAAGTGGGGGAAACAGAAAGATCGCGGATCTGAGACGCGGATTGATGGGAAATGGAGAAGATAGTTTCGCGTCCGGGCTTTTGTGGTTTGATTTGGTGTTTCCGGGTCCTGCACTGGGATCACCAAGAAGGAAAATGGTTAAGGAATCAGAATTAAGAAACACGAGGAACGGCGTCGTAGCGGAGGGAAGAAAACGTGTTTTGTGAAATTGGTGGGTCCCAGAAGTTGACTTTAGGAGAAAGTGGAGGTGGAGGCAGTGGTTTTGGTGAATGGATTTACTTTTGAAGTTGATAAATGAAAAAGAAATAATTTTTGGAATAGTGGAGTGGATTAGTTGTGGAAAACGCCGCTGTATTTTGAACTGATTAAACATGGCTTTATAATTTTAATAATGATAACGACGACTTAGTTTTGAAATGGAATAAATAACTATATAGTTCTGCATTATGCTCTGGTGGACATGAATGTTAATTGTTCTTCTTTTAGGAAACAATTTATATTAGTGTTAAACTTTGAACAAACTGGTCTCACCATTCTTTGTTAAAAAGAATCAAATCATACACTTGAACCCTCAAGATAATACCTCGTTCAGGGATGAATATATCTTATAAGCAAATATACTCTACATAACATTTCTCTATTTTTGGTATAGTTATCTATTTACATGTAATTAAAGTCAAGACATCATGCTTAAGCATAATTCTTTTTACTAAAAGCAACACTTATTAATAACATTTCATTTCTTCCAACAAACTTTTTGTTTGGTCTTGTTATAACTAGCACATATATACTTGGATCCTTGAATTCTGAACATGACAATAATAATATTTAACTATTTTTTATCGTACAGGATATGTTTTTTTTGTTGAAAATAATTATATTATTTAATTCATATTCGTGTACTCATTAGGGGAAAAAAAATAATAGCCAACTAGACTAGCTCATGTAACAAGAGTTCGGTGGATTTGTTATTTTGAGAGAGAGAGAGAGAGAGAGTTTGTTGGATTTTTAGTACGAGAAAAAAGCATTGAGGTTGTTGGAGATTTTATCTTTTTTAATAATAATAATAATAATACGGCTTTTGAGGCGATCACGCGGGAGAGACGGACACAGAGTTTTAAGGCTGACGCTCCTTGCAGAAACCATCGATCTTGGCGTGAAGCGCGTGACAACTGTCGGCCTAAAACATGCGTGAAAACCGTAGGCCGAAAAACCAACTCTTGCATGGCGGGGGCCGGTCGGGGTTTGCGCTTGCGTGTTCACTTAAATTGGGCTAAAGCAATGGCTTGTTTGGAAGTGACTCGGCCCAATACAATAATATATTTACTTGATACTTTTTATCACTAAGATAGTCTATTTTTATGACTTCAGTTGAACGAGCTGGAATTACTTCCTAGAAGAGTTTTACATTATGCATGAGAATAATGTAATTTCTGGCTCTCAAATTTATTTCATTTATCAACTTAATCTTTTAAATTTAATTTTTATCAATTTAATTTTATTTTCTTGCATATTGACTTAATCCTTATCATTTAAAAAGAATGATCATTATTTAAATTTGCTAACATAGATAACTTTATCCATGATAATCATATAAATTAATGAAAAAAATAATGATTTAGTTGAAAAGAAATTTGCTCTAAAATTTTAAAAAACAAGAGAACAAAGATTGTATTGATAGAAATCATAGATTTAAGAATTAATTTATTTTCATTTAATTATATATATGCATAACAAGTCGACAATATTTTATATATTATTTTATTTTATTCGTGTTAAAAATTAAAACTTAAAAGTAATCATATGATAACTTTAAAAGAAAATTAAATTTAAGTAACCAAATCAAAAGAAGACTAAATTTAAACTTTTCTCCCGTCTCTAAGAGCCTTTCTTTCACCCCTGTGAGTTGATTTTCTCGTTGGGAGTCACTGTGGCATTTGCTTATCCTTCTTACTCCCTATTTCTCGTTTTGCTTTTCTACCCGTTGTCAAGTGTCGGTCTGCATGACTGATCCCTCTGTTGGTTTGAGGAAAACTTGGGCATTCAAGAGGTTAGGTTTCATTGGGGATGGTGGAGATTGATAGCGGGAACACTGCATCTAACAACGATATTAGTAATGTGAAGATTAAGTGGAGGAAATAGCATTTTAAGGATAGAAATTATGGCGCCTTGATGGGTAAGATTTTTTCAAAAGCGCCTATTTCAAGGGTTAATGTTGAATGGATGATTGAGCTTGCTTGGCATGTAGATGGGAAATTTGAAGTTCATAATGGAATTGATTGCCATTTTTCTTTATATTTTGATAATAAGGAAGAAATGCTAAGAGTTCTGGAAGAAGGTCCCTAGGTAGTTAAAGATCACATGCTTTCTCTACAGAAACGAACTTCACATCTCAGTCTAAGCGAAATAAAGGTTTCAACTTGTGAGTTTTGGATTCAGTTTCACAATCTTCCTAAGGAAGCTTTAGATACTAAAAATATTTTTCTATTATGATCATCTATAGGTCAAGTTCTGGCTGTTCAAGATGCTTTTAAGGGTGATCATTTGGTTCAAAATTTTGGCATAGTTAAAATAGCTATTGATCCTCTTGTGCCATTAAAATCAATCATGTGGGTTCAAATATCAAACATATCTCCTGCTAAAGTTTTTATCAGGTATGAAAGATTACAAAAATTCTACCATAAATGTAGAAGATTGGGACATGAGTTAAAGAGTTGTTCCCATGATGATTAGATTGGTTGAAGTACTGACTCTTCCAAAAAGTTCACTCCCAAACTATGTGTTAATTTTTCAAAACCAATTGCTCATTTGATCTAGATCAATGATGGAGTCTTTCTAGATTCTGGAATAATGGAAGATGATGAGGCAACTAGAGACTACTCCAAGGATAGGAATGTTTTACATGGGAATTCTAGCCTGTATGGGGAAGAGGTTTGTTGTAACATCCTGAGAAGAAAGACTTAAGTGATAACCATAAATTTGAGAGTTAAGGGAATTGATTTGGGGTTTGAGTGTTCCTTAGGATAAGGCAATGACCTTAGATTTAGGACTAGATGAAAGGTGGAAAACCTAAAGTGGAGAAGCTTCACTGTGCTACTCACCTAGGCAAGTAGGAGTACTTACTAGGGTGAGTAGTGTTGTGCTTATTGGGGCGAGTTGAGCAGCTCACTAGGATGAGCAGTGCATTTTGAGAAAATTATAAATACGTGATTTAGCTGAAAGTGGAAGTTAGAAACTCATTTAAATTTTCTAGAGGTGGTTTTCTACAAAGCTCTGGTAGGTTGATGGTTTGTGAACCAAGGAGCCCCGAAAGAGCTAGATTCCTCTAAGGTAAGTCCCCTAAACCTAATCTACACTCTTTTACCTCCCTATTCTCTAGATTTGATGCTTGAGATCTTGCCCTGGACTTATATCTCATATTAGAATTCTTAAGGATTGTTTATCTAATTCTCAAATAGAGTATTAACTAGTTTGATTATTCATATAAAAATCATTTGTAGATTGAGATAGCCTTAGAATCATCTAGGTTCATATACGATAGAACTCAAGGATTAAGAGGTTAAACCTTTGATCTCTCAAAATTTTGATGTAGTTGAAAATTTATTATGTTATATACTATAGTCTGTGACATTGCCTGGTAAATTAATTATGCTATTCTACTTATCAAAATAAGTTTTACATGTAAGTCATGAAATCTAAGTTTGAGCCATAATATATTGTTCTGTATGACTCTAGGAGTATGATTTGAATGCTTGAAGCATGTTTTTGTTTACTAGGAATTGTCATATTACATGTTTTACATTATGGGAATTTTGTAATTGAGTAGTGTTGAAAAGAATGTACATATGAACCTTAGAATATAATTTCACTTTGAGAATATTGTTTATATACGCGCGCGCGCGCACACACACACATAAAGGTAGGAGTTCACCTATAAGAAAAAAGTTGTTATTATAAAAACCATAATAAGCCCTACTGAGGTCATACCCCAATAGTGATTAACATTTTATATGTGTTAGGTTCACTACTTGGAATGGTAATATTAGTCGTGCGTATCATGACACCTTGAAATGTGTGTGTTTGTTGTGTGTGTGTGTGTGTAAATATCATTATTAAAAAAGGGAAAACAAGGAGAAAACAGATTAGACAAATTCACTACCCATGGCCCACAACAATCATCTTTCTTCTTCTTTGTTCTCTGCTTCTAATGGCGCGGTGTAACATCCTGATTTTAAAAAAAATGATAATAATAGGAATTTATATTATTTGAGATTATTCAGAAATAATAATATGGTTAGAAATTTAATTATGAATTAAAAACTTAGATTTAAAATTATATAAGAAATATTTGTTAAGATATAATTTTAAGATTTAAAATAAAAAAAATTATGTGTGTGTGTGAGTTTAAAAAAAAAAAGTAAAAAAAATGGTTGAAGTAAAAAAAGAGAGAGGCACTGTAGAAGTCCCACATTGATTAGATGTGGGAAGGTGAGGTGTCTGCTCACATATAAAAGGAGGAGGCACAAGCGAGGAGGAGCAGAAGGAAGAAAAAGAAAAGTTTATGCAATTTGTGAAAATTGCAATTAAGGGCCCAAGATGCAATTTGTGAAAATTGCAAGTAATGGCCCAAAGGTTTGAAGATGATTTTTCTAATTAGGATAGTTAATCTGATGATATGATGGATTAAAAATATAAGTTAAAACTCTTAGGAATATAATAAATATTATAGATATTTTTCTTGAGGTTGAAACTCATGTTTAAGAATTTTTGAGTTAAAATCTAGATCTATATGGTTGAATTTATGTAGAATCTGAGATGTAGGGATGAACCTCTGATTGTTAAATATTTATTTAAGTATGAATAGGTATTTTTGAGGTTATAAAAAGGTGATTTGAGGCTTAAATATGATTTATTAAGGTATGAAAATTTTAGAAAGAATTTGGGAAGTTAAATGAGGCATAAATCTTAAATTAGTGTTAATATGGATTTTAGATCTAAGACTTTCTAACTCTTTAAATTAGAGTTATTTATTTTAATGTAAAATTAATATATAATATTATGAAATAACTATGTAGATTGTGTTGACAAAGATAGTGGTGAAGAGGAGTTGTGAAGGGGAACTTGTTATTCAAGACACAAGGTAACCATTATTATGTGTTGTGATGAGTGTGTTTGTGAATGGTTCTATGTTGTTTTGTTGTTTGAAAAAATTATGAATTATTGAAACTAATACTGTTATATACTTGTTTGAAATCATTGCCAAGTAGGTTAAAAATTTATTTTTTTATCATGATGAGATATTATTGTTCGGATATATTTCTGTTTAGATATTTGAATGATGCATGACTTGTCAGGGTATTTTAATATATGGTGTTAATGGAAATTTCTGTTCGGTTAATTATTACCACGTGGTAAGCCCTCATTGGACCCAATGAGTGGCGTGTCGCTTGGTCCAACTCACATTTGGCCGGGTGATTTGGCGTCCGAGCATGGCGAAAGGAGGATATAAGATGCAGTCATGCAATTAAATACTTGTTCGGTTTGTTTGAAAATATGGTTCTGTTAAATGTTTTGTGTGCCCACTTAGCAATCGCATGATTAGTTACATCCGCATGCATCATTACATATTAATTTTTGATTATTGGGACTTTTAAGTCTCATTCTCCATGGTTAATATTTTTACAGGAGAGAGTCCGGCCGAAAAAAGCACCAGAGGCGTAACTTTGGTGTATGAGACACCATCTTTTACGTGCTCTCATTTTGTATTATGCATTGTATCTTGTGCCAACCTAGGACATTTCTTATTTTGACAACATGTAAACTCCAATCATTTTTATTAAATGCAATTGTATGACCAAGAGGATTATGTTTGTCCCTCTTGATTCATGACCTGATTTAAATATCATGCTATGAGGATCCTGTCTGTCCCTCATGGTTCTAATTGCTTTTTTTGAGATATTTTAAGACCTGTGGTATATTGTCTTGGATGTATCATGGTAAAAATTTTTTACCATGATAAGGGTATGATAAGGGTTCAATAAAAAAAATAATTTGTTGAATTAATAATTTGCGAAAAATCGATTTGTAAATTTGAGGGTGTTACACACGGCATGAAAAGAGGCTAAGAGATTTTTTTGAATGAAACTTTAAGCTTTTTAAGACTACTTAAGTGTTTTGAATATTATTCTTAGTCATATTTTCTCTTGAGTTTTAAATTTTGAAATTATGAAAAATTTAGGGTTTGAAAGAGGGATGAATGTTTGATAAAATAATCTGATTATTAAGGTTATTGGTAATTTAATAAATATTTTAGAGTATTATTTGTTGATAGAATTTGAATTTTGAGGCTTTTGAGTTAAACTCTAGATCTCTATAGATAAATTTTTGATTAAATCTAAAAATATAAATTAAATTGTTGATGTTTGGATGATTATTTGGATGAGAAATAGATTATTATGGCTATAAAATGATAATCCTAAACTTGAGACTAAGTTTTCAATTGTTGGGTATTTTTAGGCACGAATTTTTTGGAATAAAAAAGAAAATTTTGATATTAGAAAATTGTTTGAAAGATTATTGTGGCCAAATTTTAATGAAACTATTATGAAGGAAACTATTGAACTAAGTTGATCGGTTCAAATATATGAAATTAAATTTTAGAACTCAAGAGACTAAAACTAAGGTCTTAAAAAGAAAATAAAATAAAATAAAATAAAAACTCAAGTTTTGGAATATAAGTAAAAATTGTGTTAATAATAGTATTGATATATTGTAATATGATTAACTGTAAATTAATTGTTATTTGATACCAATCAAGCTTTGGCAAGCTTTAAAAGTGTTGGAACTTGAGAGGCAACATTTGACCTCTCAAAAGTTGAGGTAATCAGGAAAATTTATTTATACATTTGTATGTTAATTATTTATTTATATTTGTAAAACAAATAAATAAATAAATAATATAATATATATATATAACCAAATCTTGAAATTATTGTTTATAATGTATATATGGCCTTGTTGAGATCCTATGATTTGTGACAAAATTAATTGTGGCACATGTAAGGAATTTGAATATGATGGCCTTATGTGGAGAAAAAAAAATAAATATGAAGACTTGCTTTGTAATGTAGAATATTAATATTAATTTTATGCTTTCATATGATAATGTGACATGATTTGAGTGATGAGATGATGCTGATGATAATAAACGTACTCTTGATTATAAATTATGGATTGTACATGGGTGATGAATTGTTTATGAGCATATTCAGTTTTCATATGATGCTATGTAATTTATGAGGTAATATGAAAATTAATGCATGAGGCATGATTGAGATATGACGATTCTTTATGCTTGTTAAGCATAAAAAATGAGGAACGTGTGGGTTAATTGTGAATTACATATATGATCTATCAAAAAACATCTTCTTATGAGCATGATCATATGGTGGAAGTTCATCTTAGCGAAGGAGCTAGTAGTTGTGCCAAATTCATATGATACTTAGCTATTAATCGATAATGGATTATAGCTGCTACTTACCTTGTTAGGTACTATGGCATTGTTCCCATTAAGGGATTTAACTTTACTAGCTTACTTGAAATTTTAGGTAGAGCTAAATTAGATATGACACCCTATAGTGTGTGATTTCAGAAAATTGTGTTCATAAGTAAGTAAGGTAACCTTGGCCCAATAGCCTCTCATGATATGATTAAGGCTTTAAGTAGTCTTACCACATGGACTATCCCTTACAGTTGTTAGCCTATAGATTTCATGTTAGAGAAAATAAAGGGGGATATAAGAAAATATTGATCATGCATTTTATTATTATTATGCCATTTGAGTGATTGATAGCTATGTTTAAGACTATGATTGTAATCATGGAAATGAGAACATATGATAAATATGTGAACAATATATATGTAGCCATTTATGCCAATGTTGTACAAACATTCAGTACTTATGGGCAATCGTGCCAATTTTATACTTGACTTTATTCTGGAGATTATTCATATAAGTTAGATGTTAATATGATGAGCATGATCTTGATATGATTGTTTACATGGTCATCTTGATGAATTTATCCACTTGCATTCATCATTAATTATTGCATTTATATAACTTAGATTTACTTTAGTTATTGAGTAGTTGTACTCACCCCTCTATTTTAACATATTATAAGAGCTAGCTCATCTAAAAAGAACAGAGGAAAGGAAGCATTAGGCCAAGTGATAATAATCACTTCTATAGGCCTTTCTCTTTTTATTTTAATATATGTATTTAGTTTATGATATTGTCAATTAGAATAATATATTTTTGATTCACTTACATTAGGGATTTTGTATTTGGTGAAAATGTACTTTGGGCCTTTGGGAATGTGATTTAGTACTTATTTTATATTAATGGATCAAAATATTTGTGCAAGTAAAAATAATTATTATATGCATGATTTGAGAACTGAAATATTATTATGGTCTTCCCTTGTGTTCTAATGTCCAAGCGTGAGTAGTTGATATTAATCATATATAAATGAAAAGGAAAATTCATGCAAGCTATTGATGAGTAGATAATATATAGAGTATGATGATTAGTTAATAATCATTGTGACAAATGTGATTGAGACCTTAGCCTCTTGTTGCTAGTTATGGAAGGGTTTGAGTGGTCAAATGTTATGTTGGTGAATATATATATTATATGGAGTCAGGCATAGAGAGAAAATAAGGGGGGAAGTTTTTCTTCCATCTTGAGATGTATTTATTAATCATGCTTTCACACATATTTAATTGAATGATGTGAGTTCTTAAAATATTTTAAAAACTTGAATCCCTTATTTTGAATACTTTGTGAAATATACATGTTAAAAATTTGTTTGGGTTAATATCTTATAGGATAATCCTTTTAGGTTAGTCCTTGATTAACCACGATTAATGTGATGATCTAAGTCTAACTTAGGGCACCCTTTACAGCCTATTTTATGGGTAAACCTAAAATCCAAGCTGTAACACATTTAAAACTCAACCATAGTTGGGTTACAGCCACCCAACACATTTTTATATCAATAATTTTGATATAAAATATTTTATAATTGGCTTCAACTCACCACTATAACATTTCAGATAAATTTTTACCTCCCACATGCCATTAGGCTAAATCACATTTGTCCATCCTTATACTCCCAACAAGTAAACTAATTACATTTGTCCATCCTTATACTCCCAACAAGTAAAATAAGCAATTAATCAATTTTCAACACAAGCCAGTTATTTGACCTTATAATCATGCCATTTTAACCAATCCAAAGTAAACCAAATATTAAAATTACAGTCATCCAAATTGTACCAAAAATAGAAATAGTTTGAAAGGCATGATTACATTTATATATTCATATAATTGACAATAAACATAAAAAAGTCCTAATATTGGCAATATAACACATTATAAATCATAAATTAAATATCCAAAAGAGACAGTGGATCTATACCACTAAGCCTCTGGGACTCCTCTACGTGTCACTCGTGGCTCTTCTCCTGAAATTGTTAACCACATAATGAGACTCAAAAGTCCCAGTAACCAAAGCCAATTTATGATAGTGTATACAACAGTTAAGTGTGTGCTTACTAAGTGAGAATTAAAATAATATAATTCCAACAAATATAAGAAATATTATAATAAACACACAACCCATCCTTATATCTCTCCATTAACCTCGAGCCGTAGCCCTCACTCGGTGCTAAATTACCCGGCCAAAGGTAATATAGCCCGAGCCCTTACAAACCACCTATTGAGCTCCAATAGGGGCGTACCACGTGGCACATAAATACAACAATAATAGCAAGTCTCCCAACACCCTCCCCCATAAATTAAACAAATTCATAATAATATTGCACAATTATACAATATTACAAAATTCATAATTTTCTCAATAATCACCCATTAACAAGAAGTAACACTAATCATAAATTAAAAGCATGGTTACCTTGTGGCTTTTTCAATAAATTATTCCTTAAAATTTCTCTCTCTCCACAATCTTCACCAGTAATACAATCTACAAATAACATATTATTTATAAATATTAGTTTCAATTTTTGAAACTAATAAAATAATTCTAATAATAGAATTAAAAATATAACATAATTCCTAATCTCAATCTTAATACAAATCTATAGTTAATACTATTAAGTAAAATTTTTAACTCCTCTTTTAATTATCAATAAACATTAATAATCTAAAAATCAAATTTAAACTAATTTCTATTATCAAAATTTTCTTTTTATTTTATAAATTCGTACCTAAAATACCCAAAAATTAAAATTGAGTCTCTAGCTTAGAATCATAATCCTATAACCATAATAATTCATTTCTCATCCCAAATAATCATCTAAACCTCAATAAATCAACATATATTTTCAGATCTAGTTTAGAATTTGATCCATAAGCCACAGATTCAAAGATCATCAATAAATTTATACTCTAAAACATTTATTATACTACTGACAACCTCAAAAATCATATTTATTCAACATAAATTCATCCCTCTTCCAGATCTTAAATTTTCTACCACTACAAACTCAGAAACTAAATAAGAAGGGACTAAGAAAAATTTTTAGAACACTTACTTAGTCTTGAAAAGCTTAAAATCACACCCTAAATATCCTATTAAAAACTCTTACCTTAAAAATTTAGATATTTCGCACCGGCAACTCGCTTCTCTCCGCCTCAGCTCTCGCGCGCAGAATGAATGAGGAAATGAAGGAAGGTGAGTTTTTATAAAAATTCAGTGGGTCCCACACATTTTTTTTTATTATTATTCTTCTTCTTCTCTCTCTTCCCCCCTTTTTTTTTATTATTATTTTATACTTACTATTCATGCGGTGCCGAAAGCAAATTCGTTTTCTCTTCTTCTTCCTTTTTTTTTGTTTTGGCATACTTTTTCCCTTTTTTTTATTATAATAATAATTTAATAATTAATTTTTTTTAATTAATTTTTTTTAATAATTTATTTTATTTTTTTTTTTAAATTTTTTTTTATTTAGAATATATCCTAAATTAGATTTAATAATCATTTTCTACTAATTTTCTTACCTCTAAATATTATTATTTTTTTTAAAAAAAAAATTTCTATTAACCTAAATTAACTATTAAAATTTAAATTGGGATGTTACACAAGCTTTGAATTTTGCCATTAATAAAGTCAGAAGAAAGACTCAAGGATGGTAGCACAATTTTTTTTATCTAAAGTGAGGAGAGAGGTACTAACCAATTTTGCTATTAATTCTATCCCTGTATACTCGATGTCTTATTTTTCATATCCAAAAATGGTCTATAAAGAGCTTGATCGCATTATCTCTAATTTTTGGCTGAAAGACAACGATGGTTGTCAGAAAATTCATTAGGTTTCTATGGATAAGTTGAAAAAGAACAAATTTGATGGGGGTCTTGGGTTTAAGGACTTTTAATTTGGCTTTGTGTGCTAAATTGGGTTGAAGAATCTTACAAAATCCTAATCAATTGTGGTTAGGATTTTCAAAGGTTTATATTTTACTAATTGCGGATTTTTTAATGCTAAAATTGGGGGAGGAGCTTTTTGGATTTGGAGGGGTGTAAGATTCTTGAAGACCGGGTCTTTTCAAGTATTGGAAATGGAAGGAATACTAAAATTTGGCATGTTGCTTGGATGCCTTCTCTCTCAGGTATGCATATCTCTCTCATGGCATGATATGACTATGGATGAACTAATTGTTAATAATCATTGGAGTCTGGCTTTTACTATAAATTGGTTATCTAATGATGAGTTAGAAGCTATTTAAAATGTAAGGATGGCCTTATCTAGAAGGGGAGATAAATAGGTGTGGATTGGAGGAAAGAGAATGCTTATACTATTAAAGATGGGTACAAAATTGCAAAACCCTTGATCATGTGAAGGTGGTGTCTAAACCTTCCACTTTCATTTTCTGTGTCTCAAGATCTTTGGAAAGCAATTTGGAATGTTAAAATTCCAAATAAAATTAGATTTTTTCATGTGGAGATTGGTGTCCAAAGATTTATCTGGTTTTGAGAACTTAAAGAGAAGTGGATATTAATCTAAACTTTATGGTATCCATTCCTCTTCTTAGGAATCTCTTGAGCACATATTTCTCTTATGTGAATGGGTAAAGGCAACTTGGTTTCAAGCTCATTATCCTTGATAATTACTAATTTTAAGGTATCTTCTTTCAACTAATGGCTTGCCCCTTGCTTCTAGAAATGAATTTGGATCAGTGGCAAAAAGCTCTCATTACGTGTATTCTTTGACATATTTGAAAATCCAGATGCACCTTCTTTTATAACAGAGTCATGGTGGACCCTTGTTTTATTAGTAGTCATGCGATTGATATGTTTTTTGAATTTTGGAATGCTAATTGCTGGTTGAATAATGATAATATTATTGTTGATCATGAACCTGACTCAAGTCAAAACTAGGTTGCTCCCTTAAGAAATTATTTAAAAATACCCACAAAGTGCTCAGCCATGGACACCTAATATCCTAAAGTGAGGAAAAGAGCAAAAATACTCATAACGTTACATAGATGGGTGCAAAAGTAATCAGACCGTTAACTTTGACCTAACACTGTTAACTTTGACTGTTAAATGCTGATTGCTCGTGCCATGTATCGGTCTTTATTGATGTGGACTAAAAAAAGAGGCAAAAATACCCACGAAGTCATCAACTAGGAGCAAAAATACTCATAAAGTTACTAGAATTGGTGCAAATGTGACCAATCTATCTAATCTCTTAAATGTTGATCGTTTAGTTGACACTTAAGTAGAAGTTGACTATTTTTTCACTGATGTAGAAAAAAAATTTCAAGATGAATTTTTACGGATGTTGATAGATTATTGTATGAGTACTTGTAATGTTACTTTAATAGGTGCAATAGTGATCAATTCATCAAAATCAATTCCATATGGTTTCTTTCTATTGCCACGTATCTCGCCCCCTTTCTTTCTTCTCCTCTCTACTTATTTTTCTTGATTGCAAAACCTAAGATTTAACATAGTGAGATAGGTTGTTCAAAATCAAACATTGAGACTGAGCACATCTAGCTTAAAAATATTGTCACAACTTTAAACAATTGCATTCACGATAGATTCAAAATTTTCAAATGATTTTCACCACTGTTGCAAAGAAACAAGTGATTTAATTTAATATTAAGTCAAAATGATATTTTCTCATATGATATTCATAGAATAATCGATTAACCTCCAAAGAATTTCATTGAGGAATATTTTTTATTTACATCAGTGAAAAAAATAGTCAATTTTTGCTTAGATATTAGCTAAAAGGTCAACATTTAAGGGATTGGATAGATTGATCACTTTTGCACATAACGTTATGGGTATTTTTGCTCCTAGCCTACAACTTCATGAATATTGTTGCCCTTTTTTTAGTCCACATCAACAAATACTGACATGTGGCATACACAGTCAGTATTTAACGGTCAAAGTTAACGGTATCAGGTCCAAGTTGATAGTTAGATTACTTTTACACCCATCTATAAGCAAAAATACCCACGAAGTCATCAACTAGGAGCAAAAATACTCATAAAGTTACTAGAATTGGTGCAAATGTGACCAATCTATCTAATCTCTTAAATGTGATCGTTTAGTTGACACCTAAGTAGAAGTTGACTATTTTTTCACTGATGTAGAAAAAAAAATTTCAAGATGAATTTTTACGGATGTTGATAGATTATTGTATGAGTACTTGTAATGTTACTTTAATAGGTGCAATAGTGATCAATCATCAAAATCAATTCCATATGGTTTCTTTCTATTGCCACGTATCTCGCCCCCTTTCTTTCTTCCTCTCTACTTATTTTTCTTGATTGCAAAACCTAAGATTTAACATAGTGAGATAGGTTGTTCAAAATCAAAACATTGAGACTGAGCACATCTAGCTTAAAAATATTGTCACAACTTAAGCAATTGCATTCACGATAGATTCAAAATTTTCAAATGATTTTCACCACTGTTGCAAAAAACAAGTGATTTAATTTGATATAAGTCAAAATGATATTTCTCATATGATATTCATAGAATATCGATTAACCTCCAAAGAATTTCATTGAGGAATATTTTTTATTTACATCAGTGAAAAAAATAGTCAATTTTTGCTTAGATATTAGCTAAAAGGTCAACATTTAAGGGATTGGATAGATTGATCACTTTTGCACATAACGTTATGGTTATTTTGCTCCTAGCCTACAACTTCATGAATATTGTTGCCCTTTTTTTAGTCCACATCAACAAATACTGACATGTGGCATACACAGTCAGTATTTAACGGTCAAAGTTAACGGTATCAGGTCCAAGTTGATAGTTAGATTACTTTTACACCCATCTATAAAATATTATAAATATTTTTATCTTTTTTATTACTTTAGAATACTAGTCCTGCTGACTACTTTATCGGTTTTTTTATTTTTTATCCTAAAAATTAATACTAATTGTGCTTTCAGGGAGAATCTAAAGCGTTCGGCAATTGTTTTTATACTCAAGGATTGCAATGGAAGCTGTATGGATGGAGCATCACAAATTTGTGTTGCCTCCTCTACTTTTGAAGCATAATTCTTAGCTATAGAGATTGTAGTTGAGTTTGCGGTTCACAATGGACTTCATGATCTTTGTTTTAAATTAGACTCAAAATGTATTATCAATTGTTTAAATTCAAATTCGGCTCCTGTTAAGTAAAAGTGTCTCTAAATTTTTAAGAATATCCTCTTCAAGAGGGATTTGTTCAAGGAACCCATCTCTCTTGGGTTCAGAAATAACTATGATAACAGATTGAATTGCTAAAGTTTTTTTTTTTTGAAACAATTGTGTCCTCTATGTTGAGTTGCTCAACCTCCAATTCCTTTACCTAATCTTTTGGAGGTTGTTCTTCAGAGATTCTAGTTTATGTTTTGTTTCTTTTGTTCTGATTTTGTTGATTGCAAGACTCTTTAGTATAATAGAATTTCTTTCTAATGGAAAAAAATGAAGACTAAATTTAGGGATGAAAGTTTCATAATACATCTGCCATACGGTAATTTCCATAGTTTACGGACGAAATCACTCAACTAATAAAATAATGTCATGCTCTCATCTTGATGATCCACGACTGATAAGTGATTCATATGATACATACATAAGTTTCTTTACAGATCTATCATATAAAAGCCGAAAAAGAAAAGGGGCCTCATCGGATCCAAGCGGATGGTGATGACGGTATGAAGAATGAATCAATAATTAGGGCCCCAGCAGCTCAAGTACATGATGGTTCTGAGAGACTCTTCGGCTTGCTTGAGCTTATCGGAATTGGAAGCCTTCAAGGCGGCTGGAGAATCGAAGGCGCAAGAGAAGCGCCTGGCCTGCAAGGAGGAAGAAGAGGAAGAAGAGTCGCGGAGAGATTTGATGGTGGAATCGCCACACTTCGAGCCCTGATCTTTCATCGCCTGCAACCCTCGCATGCCTGTTTGGTACACTATCCTCCACACGTACCTCAAGCTCATGCCCGGACAGAAACGTTGATGAGTGAATTGACGGCGTTTCAGGGAAAGATGAGAAGTCGAAGTGCCAGAGGGTATTAAATAGAAAAGATGGGAGAGACGGATCCCTGGAAAACAACCGGCGGCGACGTGGGCGTTTCTGAGGATTTCATTCAGAAAACCGGGAGCTCCTGGGGCATTTCTGTGGGTGCACC